TTTCAGAGGTGCGAGGGGGAGGAGTGAGTATCGTTGCGCTAGCAAAGATGGGTAGGATTTCGCTGATCTCAATGATCCTGTACCCAGCTACCTTAATTTTATCGGTCTCCAAACAAGATTCTGCGTCGTAGAATTTTCGTTATGATGTTTTGCTTTCCTCTCTTGTTTTTTCAGGCATTTCTCGAGATTCTATGCACAAGAGGCGCGCCACTGGTGGCAAGAAGAAAGCATGGAGGAAGAAGAGAAAGTATGTCGCTTTTATTCTTCTCCATCATCTAGAATGTGAACTTATAGGCGAATGCATTTATCGTTATAAGGCCATCTTTTAGTTTACTTATCCTATTATTCCGGCGGGGCTTTTTGTATCTAAAAGAACATTCAATGTTCAACTTATTCTCTAGATCATCAGGGCTCAGTTTATTTTGTTATCGATGCTGTCTAGCTTACTCTGAGCTGACAATCTAACACAGTTTATTTGCTGATTTAAATTTAGTTTTAAAACTTCGTCAATGAAAGTAATAGGATATGTATTTTAGGATGCTTTTGGGGTTGGAACGCACTATAGTAATGGACCATAAAGGGAATAAAATGCTGTCAGTTATTAATGGTATGCATATTGATGTAGTCTTGCTTAAGTTCTGAATCTAAAAGCTGGCATGGGGTAAATCTTAACTTTCATTTGCATCTAGCAAATATATGTAATATTATCTTTTTGTATGGGATTAAACTTAAATAGTCACCTAAGTAAATAATATAGCATGCTCATCTAACTGGGATGTTTGTGTCCATCAGAATAATGAGCCATCAACAAGATGGACTTGTTTTCGTACTTGATGATGCAAATTTTTTTAAAAAAAATAAAAGAGAGAAATATTATTCACAAAGGTACCAAGGAGGTACCACCCATATATAAAATAGTTATATATCTATTAAGTGGTCGATAACTAATTCAATGACTTCCCAATCATGCACATCGTGACCTAACAAGATAGATCTAAAAGTATGAAACTATCTATTTCTAATGTTTATAATATTAGTTTCAATGCCCTCAAACGCTCTCGCATGATACAAAATTAAGGGCTTGTGTATAAGCTTTTCACATGGTTCTCAACTTGGCAATGAGTAATTGAAGTTGAGGTTGTTTTTAGTTTTATTCTTTATTGGAAAATGTACCTGTAGGTGTATTCTTGTTCTTTAACATCCGAAAAACTGGCTTGTTCATGTTGTTTATACTTTGATAAGGTATGAACTTGGTCGTCAGCCTGCAAATACAAAGCTCTCAAGTAACAAAACTGTAAGAAGAATTCGTGTAAGAGGAGGCAACGTGAAGTGGAGAGCCTTGAGGCTGGATACAGGCAACTACTCCTGGGGTAGTGAGGCTGTCACTCGCAAGACTCGTATCCTTGATGTGGTTTATAATGCATCAAACAATGAGCTAGTCAGGACCCAAACTCTGGTGAAGAGTGCAATCATTCAGGTTGATGCAGCACCATTCAAGCAGTGGTATCTCCAGCACTATGGTATTGACATTGGTAGGAAGAAGAAAGCAGCAGTATCTAAGAAGGAAAGCACTGAGGTAACAAATTTGTGTCTTGCATAATTATATTTAGCTCACTCTTATTTCACCTTATAGATCCTTTTGAGCATGCCATTCTGATATGTTCGATCGCTGTTTAGTTCAGTAGAGGTCACAGACTTATGTTCAACTTATTTTTATTGTGGTTTCTGCATCTCCTAAAATTTTTCATTTCCCTGCAATTTGGCTATTTGGAGAAAGATGTTCTGTTCAAGCTGTTGCTGCAGATGCAGACCTGATTGTCAAAACATTGTCATCTGTTGTTAACCTTTCTGTTTTAATGCATAGATCTTTGCTATTATAAGGGGCGGTTGAGATCTTTGCTATAGTTATGACAAAGATTAATTTCCCAATCTGTTTTAGGTTTTAAATGTTCTAATTTTATTTAATGATAGGAGGGAGAAGCTCCTGCAGCTGAGGAAACTAAGAAAAGCAGCCATGTTCTTAAGAAGCTTGAGAAGCGCCAAAAGGATCGCAAACTTGATCCCCACATTGAAGAGCAGTTTGGAGCTGGTAGGTTGTTGGCGTGCATTTCATCCCGACCTGGTCAATGTGGCAGAGCTGATGGGTAAGTTTTCATTTTGGTTTTCAACTTCTATTCTCTTATACGGTCTATCTTACCTATATTTTCTCTTTTAATTTGTACATTAATGGATATATATGAAGGGTCAAGAGCTTTAGTTTATTTTAGTTTCAACTACTATTCTCTTTTATTGTTTATCTTGCCTTTATTTTCTTTTTTAATTTGTACATCTATAGGTATATATTGGAGGGTAAGGAGCTGGAATTCTATATGAAGAAACTCCAGAGGAAGAAGGGCAAGGGTGGTGCTGGAGCTGCTGCTTAGGTGCATTATTCCGATCGATCTTCAGTTTCCAGTGTTGTTTTATTTTAGGTTTGTGTTTGACCAGAACCATTGATGTTAGATACTCTTGAGTACTTGACTGGTCATTGATAGATTGATCTTTTGGTATTGTGGTGGCTTGCTTTTGTTTTTGTTGGAAATTTTTGTTTATTCTGTTATTTAAGCTATGTCTACTTTAGGGAAATTGCCTATACACCAGTGCATGAATCTTATGGTCCTAAAGTTTTTGTTTATTTGGGTTCTTCATTATATGATTACAGTGACAACCAAGTTACTGTGTTCATCCACGAATTTTCTAAATTTAGAATCAGTAACACTGACCAAAATTATGTGAGACTAAGATGAGCAAATCTCCACCTTATTATGTGTTTGAAACCCCTTCCTGAAATATTTTAATTGCCATTTTTTTATAATGTCCTTACTCTTACCTCTCTTGCATAATAATGATAAATTTTTATTCCATATGGGATTGTTTTACTGGGCAATATGTGCGCGTAGAGGTTAGATATATTTTCTCCTGGGTTGGATTAGTTGGTTGTATATTTGTAAGATTTCAGATGAAAATTTGTCCACTCAGTTAAAGAAGAAAATATCTGTTCCAAACTGTAACATAAACCAAAATTGATTTTGCTTCTTTCCTTGTAATTTTACAGAAATTTTGCAAAAAGGATCTTCCTTTTTTAGTTGGCGGTAAATTCTGGAAGTAAATTCTTGAATAGTAAAAGAACATATTTTAAAGAATCTATTATTTGATTACTGACTGATTTAAGCTTATATAAATTATGAAAAATTAATATCATTTAGGTGAAGGAGAACCAGAACTAGGCTGTAAAACCTTCCCATTAGAGGTTAAAATGATAACTATATAACAAAAAGTTGTATATGTCTACTGCAATATGGATGCATTCTAGGTCAAAGTTATCCTTTGTTTAAGTTACTATGTAGCCTGAGGATTGTAGCCCCTTTTGACTGAGACAATCTCTTCTGAGCTTTGTTGGTGTAATAAGAAAAAGATTTTCTTGGTTGACCCTAACTCCTTCAGCATTAATTGATGTGAGGAGAAAAGTGTCTTTGTAGTATCATTATTATAGCCGCTGAAAACACTTCTCCATACAAAAATCCTAAATTTAATCAATATTTGTCATCTGCTTCTTCCTCATGGCACAGCATTTCCATGTTTCTAAAAAGTATTTCTGCGGCTTCAAGCATAATTATGGTAATGGTGGAACTTATTTTCACGATAGTTATGAGTGTCGTTTCCACGTGATTGAAATGATGTTTTTTTTTTAATTTTAAGATGTGCATATTTCTATGTAGGATACGTATAAAGTGTCATAAGCTTATAGCATTTGCAGAACAGAAGATGGATAATGAGTAAATAAAAAAATTTTGAGGACGAGGGATTTTTTTTTTTGTCTCAAAGCTGAGAGAGCGCATATAGTTCAATTCAATCAGCTAATAGTATAACTTTAGATTAAAAACATAAAAGGACAAAATAGGTTAAACCAATTTGAATAGCAGAAGTGATGTGAGAAAGAGAAATCTTATTTGATAGAATCTTTCCTTATGGGTCAATTGTTGAACCAATCCACCTGAAAAATCAAAAGCCAAAAGTGAGCCAGCTGCTAGGAGTGACAATGTTATTTACTGTGTTTGAGAAGTTCTCCAGATGCTGCTTTTTCTCCCGCATCGGAGGTTCTTAATATATTATATTATATGTATATTTTAATGAAAATTTTAGAGGGGGAATGTCAAAATCATAGTGTGTGTGTGTGTATATATATATATATGTATGTATGTGGAGGTGGGTTGGCTTAAAGGTTTTCGTAGATGCTCTTACACAAAGGGTATACTGTAGGCGGAGATGACCATTAATAACAGAGCTCTCACGGTCTGTCTGCCTGGAAATGAGACGCAGGAATGTTGTATTGAATTCAGCTGCTAAACTTAGAGCATCATCTCCAATACATTCAGTATTGTCCACATCAAACACTAGATTCATTTCTCCATGAGAATTTTAAAATTTTTATATAATTTATTTGTTAATTTATATTTACTCTCATCATAAACTGATAAAAAAATTCTCCATAATTTTTATGTTTTTTTTTTCCTCCTAATTGGGTTCCTGATATTCTTTAAAATTAACAAACACCAAGACTTGTGTTTTGGATAGAATTTCACTTTCTTTAAATAACTTAAAAATAAACATTTCTCCAAAACATTCTCAAATCACTTTCTTAGCCTTGAGTACGTTAAAATTAATCGAGGTATAATATCATTTATTGTGGTTTAAACTTGGATACAGGTATCTGGCTGTCAGTATAAAAGATTCTTTTCCAAAAAAGAAATATATATATATATATATAACATAAAGATCTTGGATATATTTAAAAGCCTCTGTCAATGTAAACCGACACAAGACGACGTGGCTGATAAGAAGGTTTAAAGGAAGCCAGGGCCCGGCCCTTTGTCTGGTCTTTGTAGCAACGAAATTGGGGAAGGGGAGATTAATGATCTGATTGGCGTTACGTTACCTAACCAGACAACCGTATCTCCTACATTCAGATTTTACAATCTTTTTTACCTTTTAATGTTCTATTCATGTTTCTCTTTTTCTTTTTTGCTTTTTGTTTAAACCATATGTTTCTTTTTCTTTAAAGAAAATATATTTTTGCCCAAAAAAAATGTCAAATCCTCGTCAATAGACCCGACAACCCACAACAGGGGAAGGATATGCAAACATGTCAAGTGATCAAAAGTTTTCACTTCAAAATTTAGTTTACACATGCTCAATCTCACTGGAACTGCACCATACCATGAGCTTGAGAAACAATTCAATCATTTTTCTTTTAGTACTGAAACAATCAAGAGTATGTCAAAGAATGCCATGCAGTAACCTCACAATGCCTCCCTCACCTTACTTGTCCTGGACGAACGATGTGTTACATAAAAACAAACCCGGGCTCGCCCCCACAAAAAATCCACTCCTCCAATATTATCAACTTTCAATGTCTCTTTCCTACCCTTGAAAACGTTTGACACAACTTCCTCTGTAGTCTAACCATGAGGCTTGACAACTATTAAAGATACATACTCCCTCACTCAACAGGTAAATAAATAAGAGTATTAACATGTGCTTAGCACAACCGAAAGAATTGCTTTATATGGTGTCAAGAGCAGTAAATACCAGGAGTCATTTAGGAATAATGCACTAAAGCACCGGGAGATTCAGATCAAACCCATGTCAATGTGATCTGCAGACCAGGCTATATCCGAGGAGAGAGCTTGAAACACCAACCCTAACTAAGCAATCAGCTAACCTGTTCTCCAATCAAATCTAGACCAACAACAAGGAAAGTGATTCCTTGAAATAACAGAAAATAGAAGTGAATTCCTTGAGCAGACAACAAACTTCTCATGGAGGCAGTCAATAAAATAAAAGCAAGAGCAAGTTCCTTCCTGTATAAGCGATTTCTCTTAGTTTTCCCTGTTTTCTTGGTCACCTCTAGTTTATTCAGCTCCTTAAGACCTGAATCTGAGGAGGACCTCAGGAGACTAGATGTTTCAACTAAAGATTCAGTTTCCTTTTCAGCAAAGGCAACCAGGTCTGCCTCTGATGATCTTCCCAATTTCTTTGTGACTATCCACTCGTAAGAACTTCCAAATCGAAATAATCCCGATATCATGGCATTGAATTTCGTAACAGACATGGTGTTCTCAAACAGAAGATAGGGGACAATAAAAGGAAATGATCGTGGTGCTGGAAGGATATTCAAGATAGACATAATCCCCGGCACATAACAGACAACCCAAGCTGGTAGCTGAGCCTCTGGCATGAACATTGTCAGCGGCAGAATAATGCAGAAGAGTGTGAACGAGTAGAAGGGCAGGATAAGCTTCCGTAAGAGGAAGAAAAGAAATATCAAATTTGCTTTCTTCATAAAACTAACCTGTAAGACAGAAAAAGTAAATTTAAAATGGAAAGTTACAACCGTAAGGTAACTTCATGCAACCAAAATGGAAAAATATATCATCAATATCCAGAATCTTTGAAGAAAGAAAACCAATATTTTCTTACAACATCCACTCATATATGCACCTGCTTAATTTTAGTGCTTCTGTAATGATCTAAAATTATGTATGCATGTCACAAGAGATAATAGAGATTTTTCCAGATATTTCCGATTTTATTTAGTCTGGTAGCCTATGAATAACACAATATCCCATATTAATTTCTTTCACCTACTATTCATTAACATAAAAGTGAAGGGCCAAAATAGTATGGTGAAAGCTCCCAAACCAAGAAACAATATGTTAGTGGTGGGATGTGAACATTAAATTTTTCATGGACAGAAAATTTTGAAAATTTATATGCCACCTGCTCCCAGAGTTGTATGTCAATACTTATAGACTTCTTTTTGCTTCCAGGCCTTGATGACCAAGAGGAGAATATGTTGGTCACAGATATTACAAGTGAAGACTACCTACTTAAATTCTTGAATGTTATCAGGAACAACAAAATTCTATAGCAAGGAACAAGAAAATTACGTCTCTAGAAATTCATTTCAACGTTCCATATCAACTTGGGAATAGACGTGCATTTATTTGCAGACATATCTACATGTCATTCAACAACTTTGACACGAGTAAGTTACATTCCTTTTTGTTATAAAAGCAAATAAGACAACAATAAAGATAGAGATAGTTCTGGGTAAATAACAATTATATCAAAATTTGTACCTTTGAACGAAGAATGTCAACAAAGCATAGACGGAACAACTGCATTGGACCAGAATGCCAACGATATTGCTGTTTCTTGTAGGCCTCATAGGACTCTGGAAGTTCGCAAAGACACTGTAAAACAAAATCTAAATAGTTTCATTCTTGAAACACTTGAACAAACTTCCTAATTAAGTTATGGTGGCATCACACACCTTAACATCATTCAGATAGATAAACTTCCACCCACAAAGATGAGCACGAATGGCAATATCCATGTCCTCAACAGTTGTTCTTTCCAACCACCCACCACAGTCTTCAAGTGCTTTTATTCTCCACACTCCAGCAGTTCCATTGAAACCAAAAAAGTTGATAAATATCCCATTGACCTGTTGTTCAACCTCAAAATGGAAGGATAAGTTTATGTTCTGCAGTCTTGTAAGCAAATTCTCATCCTTGTTTACAAAAGCCCACCTTGCTTGGACCAGTGCTAGGTCATCCTTGCCCTTGAAGAAAGAAATTAGAGAAAACTCTAGTCAAACTAAGGTACAAACATGGGTTGCAAAAACCCTGTTGCTACATAATGGTTAAGGAACACCAAACGACCATGGTTTCGACACCAGGATCACAATAGAGAAGCAGAATTTATCACAAAGCTCCATTGTGCAAAGAATTAAAAATAACTTCAAAAAAAAAACAACAGACCTAAACACACCTTGAATAGCAAGCATTACTGCTGAACCCGAACCCTACTCTTTTTTCAGCAGTTAATGCAACCATGAAACAATATGCAGAATGTGCTCATATCGAAGGGCACGATATATTTTTCCATAAGAAAATAGAATAAAAATAGAAGTCAGCTGAGGGATTTGGCAGAATCAGCTGAATAAATTTTTCTATCAAATGAAAATTAGAGCCATCATGATTGAGCTAATCTTACTCATCTGTATGCTTGAATAAAAGCAACAAAAGTAATCATTCAAGCTTGGTTTTGCTTTTGGCAACACAATGTTTGATTACACAGTCACTAACTAAGAACATGAAACTGTGATGAAATGCCCACTGCATTAGAAGATAGCTTTTCCATTTGGGGCACTCATGTATTGCATTATTGTACTAACTTCATCATCTAAATACTGTTAAGAGGAAGAAAGAAGATGACTATATAAAAAAGATGCATTCCATTAACATGAAGTCACGTACACATCACACAATCAGGGAACTATGATCTACTCATCATGAATAATTACAGACTCCTTCATGACTTCCATGTGCATGAATAGATAGATAAGATATCTACCTAACGAACAGCCATGTAAGCATGGCATCAACATCATGTGTCCAAAATCAACAAAAAGGCAACTCTCAGTTTTACAGACCAGGAATATCCCACTTCTTTTTGATTCCCAAGTGCTAGGTCGGTATATATCTAATCAGGCATGTACACATAAACCAGGGCTATGCTGCGAATCTAAGCGCATTCCATTTTATATTATGTATTGTCCTGTTCAGATTTGATTGGTAAACATGTTCAAACATAGAGATTTCACAAAAGACTGTTGAGAGATAGCAGACACTAGCCTGAAGAAAAAGAAGGTTACAGTTACCTTGAAATGAGGAATAGTCTTCTTCAAGAAATCTGGTGCTGGCTGAAAATCTGCATCAAATATTGCCACAAACTCATAATCTTTAACATAATCACAAGTCATTGCAGATTTTAGATTCCCTGCCTTGTAGCCTGTACGTATAAGACGATGTCTATATAATATGCGGACACCCCTTTGTTGCCATTTCTGTACCTCAGCCTTGATAAGAAGCTGAACATCCAAGTCATCAGAGTCATCAAGAACCTGAACAATCATTCTTTCCTTTGGCCAGTCTAAGATACAAACTGCGGCAATAGATTGCTGATAAACCTGCATGGCCACAGAGAGTAAGTTACGGAGGCTGAAGAAAACAATCATCTGATACCAACGAGAATACTGTTATATGCAAAAAAGTGAATTTTTTTAGAGAGAGAGAGAGAGATGATTAAGTTAAACTTAATAGTACATGACAGTGTAAAAAAAAAAATTAGTGGTGGAAAGACTCGCAGAATCACTCATTGGTTAACAACTGCTTCAATGAGCTTCCAGATGAATAATTCAAATTCTCAGTCACAGGAACTGGATAACTGAAGAATGGCATTATTGAAACCAGGAAGTAACATTATTCAACTATTATGAGGCTATGTAAAAATCACTCTGCTTTTTCTGCTCCATTTATGGTAATTTTGTGCCACTTACACACTAAAGATGACTCATTAAGTTCATGGGTAAATAGAGATATCTAGTAAAGCAGAAGGTTGTGGGATTCTGCCTAATCTCTTCTCAATCCAACATGAATTGTTCCAGTTTCAATTGCTGATGGCTTAAAGTTAGTAAATCTAGAAAGAAGCTATGTTGCCTTACCCTATGTCTTTTGATGGTTATCGTTGTCACTAACACACTACAGACAATTCATTGAATTCACAAGAAAATACGGATTAATTAAAGCAGTAATCTTAAGCAGTAAACCAGAAGTTAAACTCATTGCTGATGCATAAACTCTGAAAGATGAGGAACAGAAAATTACCAAAGACTCTTCTAAACACCCGGTCAAAAAGTTATCAGAATATCTATCAAGAAAACAAGTTACCCTATCATCTACACAAAATGATAACCACAAGATCCAAAATGACTGATCTTGTAATCTTCATAAGCAAACTCATTAATATTCCTTATCAATACGTCAACTCGTGAAATAAATAAACTTTGTTATGCCAACAGGAAAACTACTAAGCAATTAGAAAGAAATTTTATATCATTAAAAGTTTAAAGGCTATAATCCAATCATCGCTTAACACTAACTGATCAACCTATTAACTCGCAAACAGCAAGGAACGCATCCACACGTAGAAAAACCAATAACCTACTCTAAATTTTAATAAGAAGCCATTAATGGGCTTCATCATATTAAATGTTTCCACTATTTAAATTCAATTCTTGGTTAACATAAGCTAATCCAAAGATTAAAAAGAAAAAGCCAAACGAGACAAAATCATAGAATTCAAATAAGAAAAATCAGCATATGACAACGGCACAAAAGAACAAAAAACGAAGGATTGGAGACCTACATCGGCTTACCTCCCTCTCATTGCACATAGGAATCTGCACAAGCACCATGGGATAATCCTCCACACTCCCGGCCTCTGCATCCGCAACCACGGGGTACTCCATAGCCGGCTCGGGTTTGATTCTGCGAAGCTTGATCCAGAAGCAGCCTAGCACTAAAATCACGCGATCCACCGATTGTATTAAGAAAAGTACTATGCACACGTTGGCCAAGCTCTGGAGTGGTGGCGCCAAGTAACGCGCCCTGATATCGAGCCACTTGGCGTAAAGCACTTCCACCATCAGCTCCGCCGACTCCACCGATGGAGGGCTGAAATGCCATCCTTTGAAATATGCAAGAAGCTCGAAACAGAGCAAGAGTATGACCACGATCAGGAAGGCCTTTATGATGCGATAGAGCCGTGACGGATTAGAGAACTCGGAAGCCGAGTCCTGTGACGCGATGCGGCGGTTGGCAGTACGGAGGAGGTTGAGGAAGGAGTTTGTGATCCAGGCGAGGGAGCTAGCGAGTTGCTGGAACCTAAGGAGACAAACCCACGAGAGCTGACGGGCGCTCCGAGCCCGGTTCCGGTCCTTCTCCGGCGCCCGGTCGGAAGTTGGGCTCCGGATCTCGACGGTAAGGAATGCGTTGGTGGTATGGTTAGCGTCGGCAAAAAGCTCGCGGTCCCTCTCTCTTTGCTTGTTCCACCATTCTTGAAACTCATAGTTTTGTGCTCGAGACATTAAACGAAGAAAAACTCAGAAATGTGAATACAAAGAAGCAAAAAAAAAAAAAAAAAAAAAGTAACTGGGTGGGTAGATCTCCCTTTGTGAGGAGGAGAGAATGAGCTAAATTTGGAAAATGAGTAGCCAAATTTAGAGGAACTTTGGGGTGTTGTGTAGGCGATATGTGCATGTGCAGAGGGTTCTTGGATTTAGGACGGTGGGTTATCGGGATGGAAGCAGGCCATGTGCTTTGGTCGTGGGCGGGGTTTGGTTAGTAAATCCAGGTTTCTGATCTACACGCGCTAATCACGGAGAAGATGCGGTGTCGTTTCGTTGTTTGCTTACGTATGTGTCTCGCGTGCCACTATTGGCGCGTGATAGTGTGCGCTTTTACAGTTATGTGACTGCGTCTAGATTTCAACAGTTGTCGCATTAGTTCCTTCCTAAACTGGTTTTAAAAGTGTTTAAGCACCCGGCGCGTAAATATTATCCAGAAACCCTAACAATTTTTGTTTAATGGATTAATATGGCAACTCAAATGAATAAAAATAAAAATAAAAATTATATTTTAAATTAATTTAGATTTTTCATTTATGTTTTTAAATTTTATTTTTTTGGGTTGAAATGAAAAGGTGAAAAATGGGAATTCGAGCAAGTTCCTTATGGGTGGTTAATGTGAAAAGTCAGGTCTTTATTTATTTATTTATTTATTTTGTTGTTTGTAGTTGAAAAACTTATTTTGTTGCTTTCTTTACCTGATTCCTTTGACCACTTAGACATGTTCGTAAATGGAGTGAGTTCATGTCACCAACTAATGTACACAAGTCGTTCGTGAAAAGCAAAAAAAGATGTGCGTATATGACCGCCACCTCTCTCACAAAAAATAATAATAATAATAAAATATTATTATAATAGTAAATCGAGTATAAAATGATTTTCTTTTATTATTGTTATTTATTACATGGATTGATATGTGTATGTATATTGAGATGTACATAAAATTTATATATATATATATATATAGAGAGAGAGAGAGAGAGAGAGAGACCTATTTATTGAGTTACTTAAGATCAGGTATATTGAGTTTAATTTCTTAAAAATTACAAATTATGAGGTTTGTTTTTTTAAACTCATCAAAAATAAAGGAAGCCCTAAGTAAATAGGAGAGAGGCAGGTGTTGATTTGAAAGGTTTGTTAGAAATAGTTAATGCCTTTTCAAGTTCCCTCATTTAATTTGTGACCCAATACAGATGTCAATTACCACGGGACGCATGTGATGAGACGAAGACAACCCTATTACGAACACTAATCCTAATAATTGGGTGGTTTAAGCTCCCATTTTTATTGGGATTAAATCTGGGAACCCATAAATGTAAATAAATCACTCATTTTCACTTTATTTTAGCCCAGGAAACATTCACCCAAGCTTACTGATGTACTCTCTCTCTCTCTCTCTCTCTCTCTCTCTCTCTCTCTATATATATATATATACATAACCGACATATAAGTCTCCTCATTATGCAGTGCATTCACCTTCTTCTCCTTAGACTAGTGTTAACAAGTCAGCATATCCAAATTCATCGATCTGAACCTTGGCACCATCAATGTCAGATTTTTTACTGTTCAGGTTTGAGAATTTTACATGGTCAAAAAATAATCTTCTTAACCAAGAATGCCAAGAATACTTTCCTAACATTGAACATTAATTTCAATCTGTAAAGGGTCCCTTATGTTTCTAAAAATTGTACCTAGAAGCACAGGATAAACTTAAGTTTATGAGTAATAAATATACACCTAAAGCTTGTCATGCTGGCAACGTCTGCAATCTTATATGCTTGTACTTCTGTTCTGTGTTGAACCGTCTTGCACTCTCTGTCAAGCCCTTAGATAAAAGGAACTTTAATACATCAACTCCTTCCTGCAAAGCAGTATCAATCTAGCCCACCAAACAAAAACAGCATTTATCAGTCAGTGACAGTGAAGACCATGTTCTCTACCAAATGCATTGTACGCACATCCATTCTGCAATATGTCACATGTTGTAAACAATGAAAAGATATTATTGAAAAAATATATATAAATATGACATGATCATGACTACAAAATCTCTTAGATTTTGTAATAATACCAATGAATCCAACATGGATCCAGAAATAAAATGATCATCTTGAAACAGAATTCAATCATGGGCAAAATGACGTTTAAAAAGTGGATGCACACAGAGGGAATATACATGTACCAATGAACAATTCTCATTCCTTCAAGTACACATCAATGAAACTCACATCCAAGGAGCAATACTTACCACCCAAAAATACGAAGGTATATTAGCCATGTGTTAAACCAAAGAAGCAAAAAATGTGATTTGAAATTGCTAGAAAAGAAATTTTCAATACTGAGGATATCCCAGTAGCCTCCAGACAGATACAACTTCACCATAAAAATATCCTATGCTTAGCCAATAGCATCTGCTTCAATTATCCAGTGAAGCATCTGAAGAAGAATTTGGCTACTTCTAAGATAATTAACCACTAATAAGTAAAATCTTACTCGCTCTCGAGCTATTGTGTTGAACTTTTGCAGCAAGAATGCTTTTGGATCCATTTGACCAGGAGGCCTTCCAATACCTGGCAACCAACGCAAGTCTAATTCAGTTATTTAGGGCAAAATCAATAGAGCTGGCAGAGTCAAATATACTAAATGGGATTGCAAACTAACCGATTCTCAGTCGAGCAAACTCTCTATTGCCTCGGAAATGATATATAACACTTTTAAGCCTAATCACAGAAAAAATAAATAAATCAATGTAAAAGCTAGCCTTGAAAATACTTCTAGAAATAATCAAACAGAATTCTTGACAATACCAAAGTTACAAGTATTTATGTGTAGTTGTACAGGAAAATCCATCTTGAGTTACCTAACATAGACTTACATGCATCCTAATACACTTGTCAATAAAAACTCAAGAATAAATATATACTTTGCACTCATGAAAATTCATGTCCACTACTAAGATATTTTTTCACCATTTAAACACACAACCAAAATGATACTGAGGACGTTAACCATGGCCTTATACTTAATTCCCAAGACAAAAATGCAAAATCTTTACATGTATCCAGATACACTGGCTTGATAAGATAATTTTCACCATTCAAGCATATGTCAATAATAGTTTGCTGTGGTCTACCATAAAAATAATGCATTAGTTGAAAGTATTTTCATAAGGACATCCAAACATGGAATGACTTTATAGCCTGCTGATGTGTAAGCACTTTATGATTTGCTTAATTATATTTATCTGATTTGTCTACTTATCTTTATCTGCAGCAGTTTTGTTTTTCCTTAGATGTGGGAGTTGGTTACTTCAATTTTGGAAGTTATGAACTCCTTAGGGATAATTTTATGTTCTTATCTCGCACCAGGATATGTACTTAAAATCAGTTCTGGGAGAAAAAAAAGAAAAAAAAAAGGTAGGCAATATTTCAGAAAAGTTATTTCTTAAACATTGTTTGGGTTTTCTCTTAGCGAGTCCAACTTTTTTAGGCAAAAGAGGTCATGAAAGGAGAAGATTTACAGAAGCATCCTGCAATTTCTTTGTACTGACTTTTCTGCTTAAAGACTATAACCAGATCCTGGATTGAGGAACATAATGTTTTTATTCTTTTAATTCCTAAATAGATCCTGGGTTAAAGATGATAAGAATGGTTCAACTTGTATTTTATCGAATACAATCCTTATATATACAAATTTTCTAGAATAGAAAAGGAAATAAATAATTTTTATATAGGGGGTAAAAGGTCCTTTAACCTAATTTACATACAGTACACTCTCTTTAACAAAGGAACACAATATATCTTGCACGGTGAATGCATATTTAAACACAGATTCCACAAGGATTGCCAAGTCCTATTGTTATTTTCCAAAAAAACACACAGATATATACAAATGATGCTATAAGGTGTGAAATCTGCTCTCTCAACATTCTCAAGTGACCAAAACGGGAAAAGAAACCTGAAGGGTTTGTGTCTATTAAAGTTTTCAAGCAAACTTATATGTCACAAAATCAAAATCGTTGACAACAAAAATCACTACCAATACCAGTCATAACAACATAACATTGACAATCACGGCAATTATTTCATCTAAATATAAGAACACTACTTAGTTTGGTACCACAATTTCTAATTGCATCAGTCAATATCGATATTTGATTTAGCAAACGGGCAGAGCATATAATCTTAGTAGGGTACTCAGCAGTCATATGACAAGCAATTGTTTCCTCAAGATCAAGCTTTTATTTTCCAAAGATAAATGTATGTGCTTTTTACTTGCAACTAAGTACTTGAAGCTCTATCTTACCCATTGTGGCTTCCGTGACCCCCATTGTGCTGAAGACGAAGTACTCCACATGGCAAGTTCATGTCATCATGAAACTACAGTTTCAAACCAAAAAAGGCTACCAAATATCAGCAAGAGCCATCTTCTTAGATAAATCAAAGTACTACAATATTATTATCAAAAGATTAAAGAGGAATAAACACAAAATGAAGGTAGAATTACCACAATCACACGATTAAGAGGTAGCTTATAATAAGCTGCAAGAGGTCCAGTCTGCATTTAGAGAGAAATAAAAGTTATGTTCCTCTTCCTGACTTTTTTTAAGGAAAAAAATATTATTCTTGAGAAGAAGAAGTATAACACCAGATCCCCTAAAGTCTTCTAATACAAGAAGGTCAAAAACGTAATAACAGGAAAAACCAACAAAGATTACTCTACTATTTCCCCCCTCTCCCGCCGCCCCCAAAAAAAATTGTGCAACACAGAAAGGAAATTAGTTTTTCAAGTTACATTATGTTTGCAGTAAATGAATTCCACCAAAAGAAATGCACGATTCTTTTGCAGCAATTTCTTATTTAGAATGTGGATAAAATATGGACTTGTAAATGAGTTCCGTATTTTTTGTCTTAAGTTTTTAGAATGCAACCTACAATAGATCTTTTTTTTATATATATAAAAGAAGAAGCTTTACATCAACCTACCATAGATCTTATTCCATGAGTTTTATGGAACCATGAAAGAAAATATAGGCATTTAAAACTTCTGAAAAAATTTGAGGTATTTAAGGTGTTTAGCACAAATCCAGAATTCTGGTAAAATTTATTTGCAAGTTAATTCACACTTAATCTACTTATGACAAATGCAAATTCTATTAAGGCATGATACTATATGAACTCATAGAACTTCATGTGGAATTGAAGGAACACATTCTGAATTCCATGCGAGTACTTCAATAACTTCTAGTTGATAAATACAGATCAACAAATCATTCCGTACAAATTTAGTATTTGTTTCAAACATGGCCTAAAATTTTTTAAGTATTAGGTTCTGGCAGTTTCCTGCTTATGTTATATTGATGTTTTGTTGTAAACATATGCATTTATGCACAAACTATGATCTGGGAACTACCAGAACCAGTGCAAGTAAGCTTAAATATGTTCTAACCACTTACAGATTCACCACTCAAATTCATGTAAGTTTGGGGCTTTGCAAGAAGAAGGGGAGCATCACCGACAAAACCTGAGAATACAACTAAATACCTCTCAGCTTTGCATAAAGAAAACAGATTGCTCCGCAGTTAAATACACACATATATATGAGGTGGGATAGAATTAGTTCACCGACCTTGTCCAAAAATCGCTTTGCAGTTAATTGTGTTCATTGGAATCCCTTGTGATTCAACAAATGCATCAATCATCTCAAATCCCACCTGCCCTAGTTGTGAAATAGTTAGATTTCGTCAGGGAAGGTGAAGTGATAGTTCACAAGTACCTGCTAGTAACGTGTTATACATTGTGTCTGGTTCCTTTGTATTTATCACCCGGGTTGCCCAAGCCCACAAAGAGCCATGGCCGTGAGGCAGCAGTGCAGAAATGACGGCTACGAAATGTTTTCAGCATTTGGTTCACCATCCACAAATTCCGTAAGCCTGGATAAAACACAAGAAATGAAGAAAAGTTCACTTTCCTTCACAGTCGCCCTTGGTATGCCTGACTGCAAACTATGATAGTATATGAGCATATATGAAGAAATAAAAGAAAAAAATAAGCCAAAGTTAATTCAAAGTTTCTCATTCAGGGTTTCCTCTTCAAAATAACATCTTTCCGGACAAGTTTTAAAAACCAAATTCCCAGGAAATCTTGTTTCAGTGACCCTACATAATTTTTCGATGGAAAAAAAAAAAAAATTCCAGCAAATTCATGCTTAATATACAAAAGTTACCCACTAAAACATTATGAAGAAAATAAAACAGAGACAACGTAAGTCATTTCCATGATCAAGAAAGTATATGGAACTTCACACCTAGAAGTATACATTAATATATGTGCAATAAAGAAAAGAGTGAGCCAAAAAAGAAACAGCAAAATTTTTAAAAGAATGAAAGGCAAAATAGTTCCATGTATCACCAAAGCATCGAGTTGAAGTTTTTACAAGCATTTTAACAAGCACGTCCTGTACGTAGTTGATTATGACTAAGGCTTACAAACTAAATATCTCATTTGATACTCCCAGCTAAGAGAAGGAAAATTAACAACTTAAAGACGGAAAGCAACATGCTGCAGTGAGAACAGAGGAGTGAACATCCAATATTCTTCATTTAAAATCAATGGATCAAGTAGAGGTGTCTCACCATGTGAGCAACCCAAAAGCTCTCCTGATTTTGATTTTCACCTCTGATTCCGGAAGTGGCTCCCCGATTCTTTCTTGTGTTTGTGCGTGAGGGATTTGCAGCGGTGGCCTCGTGGGGATGTGCTTGCTGGAGCTGCGTATTTTCGGGCTTACTGGAGTTGGACTTTGGAGAGAGTAAAAAATTAGTGAGGAAGAACGAAAGCATTTGAAGATCGCCGCAGTTGGGCTTCTACTGGCCCGAGTTTTAAAAATGTTGGGCCTATACTGGCCCGAATTTTAAAATGTTGGGACCATACTGGCCCGAGTTTTAGAATGTTGGGCCTCTGAGGGCCATTTCTGGACTTGTCTTTTACTTCTGTTTTTTTTTTAATAATAATAGTAATGCTTCCTTCAAAATTAATCTTGTACAGCGGCCATTTTATTAGTGTTTTTTACCTTACATGTCTGTGAAATCGATAAATTCGTAAAAAAAAAAAAGTAAAAGTGAAAATCTATTGGATTAACCGTGTTCTTATTAATTCGTACAGTATAAACAGTGGGTGGTTGATTAAAAAAATATATATATTTGTAGTTTGAGAAATTAATAAAATGGCAAAAAAATTACATAAATAATAAATTTGTTAACAAAAATAGATGAAGAAAATAACAAAATATATGACATTAGTACAATAATATGCTGTCAAAGCCTCAAATCAAGGCTTACATTCAATCTCAAAATTTTGCACGGATGGGACCCAAACAATACATCTCACGTGTTGAAAAGTGCAAGTATACCAACATTAAAAATTTAATCCCACATAATTATATAATACACACGTACATCTATATATATATATATATATATATATGATTACTACGAGTAAGTCCAACAAGTATTTGGTTATTCGTAGTAACAATACATTATTTGCATTATTTCACTTCCGAAAAGCTATATTCCACTAATCCAAAGTGATAGTGACCAAATCTCTATTATAATTTCATATAGATTTGACCAAAAGAAGCTTTGAAATATTGCAAGACAGACTTTTTTTTTCAATTAACAACACGTTTACAGGTGGAGAGCATGAAATAATGCAGTGTTTGGTGAAAGAAATGATGTATTGGATTGCTCCCAAGTGAAAATATTAGTGTCCTTAAAAACTAAAAGCTTCAAATGCAAGGTGAAAAAGACAACCATCCAAACAAGGAACTATGTTTTTTTTTTCTTTTTTTTTTTTTTTAATGGTTAATTATAGGGCACCTACCCTAATGATCGTTATAATACCCTACAACCAAGCCCATATGGTCCTAATATGTGTCTTAGTTGGAGGGTAGGGACCTCACTATGTACATATATATATATATATGGTGGGGAAGATATATATATATATATATATATCCTACCCTTTTTCCTTCCATTAAGCACATGGATTTCAGGATTTGATTATGACAATTGACCAAATAAATTCTCCTCCCTTATATTAAACTTCCTCTATAATCTTACTCTAATATTAATTTTTACTATTTATTTTTTATTATGTTATAAAATTAAGTTTTTAATTAATATATTTATTTATTGAGTGATATATATATATATATACGCACATACTAATTATAATACATTATAAATAATATTTAAATAATAACGCAAATAAAAGTACAATTTAAATCGATCTCATGACTTATTATTAAAAAAAAGAAATAGGAAACAGGAGTACTATTTGTTTGCTTTTTAAATTTTGGAATATATTGTTTGGTTGCATGGAAAAATAAAAGATGAGAAAAAGTGAATGATGGAAAACTAAATTAACACACACACGCACACAAAAAAGTGATTGCAAAAGGGGAATAGAAAAAGAAAAAGAGAAAAAAATGAATGATGTTCTTTTTTTATATATGTTTCAATTTATATATATATATATGTTGATAAAAAAAAAAAAAAAAAAAGAGAACGAAAGCAAATGAAACTTAAATCTTACATCCCAAAAAATTTATAAGATGATCATGTTATTTTTTGTTATCGTATCATCTTATAATAAGTTATATTACGTTTACGTTTGAAATTAAATTATATATCATATAGATAATCTACCTACTTATAAATAAAGAATTTACGAAAACGTTTTAGATTGACTTCATTAAGAAATAATTGAATTATCAACTTAATTTATAAGTAATGTCTGTGATGAAAATTTGACTTTTTAGTACAAATAAAATTTTATATTATGTGATGAATTCATATTGATAATGATATTATTATATGCTTATTTATAAATTTCAATATTTATAAGCACACATATACTTTTTTGTGGGAACACAAAAATGTGATATTCATGATAAAAATTGAATATCTAAACATCTAATCCCATACAAATAATTCTTCTCCCAGATCCTGTAGTTTTTGTAATTATTAAAAAAAAAAAAAAAAATCATTTTAGGATATCTTAAAAGTTTCTTACTTTTTTGGAATTGACATGTCAACTAAATTAATTTTGCATGAGATCTTATTTTTGGAAATTAATTTCATTATAAACGTACAGCTTGTTTGATTTAACTTTCTTATGTCACCTTCAGATTTTACAAGGTTCACGAAGAAGGTCACACCATATCTTATTCAAAGATTTCATTCACCCTTAATTTAATAAATTAATTTCTATTTGGGTACCAGCTGATCATTCAGCCCAGTCTCTGTCAAGATTATATATGTTGCAGAAATGTATGAAATTCTCGAAATCCACAGTGTTGTTCATGTAATTTTCACATTGACCCTCAAATTATAATTCAAATTGAATAGTTAATAAATGGGTGTATGATTTTAATAAATAATAAAGCACCATAAATTTTGATTTAAGGGATAAATCCCTAAAATCATAGGGGTCTTTTTTTAAAGAAGAAGATGGAGACGACAAGACTGTCACATGAACACTGTCATTACTAATATATATGTATATGTTGTATACTGCTGCGTACACAATTAAGCAGCAGATTCAAAGCATCTTTTAAAGGGGGAAAAAAATTTGATTGTGATAAATTAAATAAACCCTAATCTGCAGAGCAATAATGGAAGGAAAGGGTGGTTAATAAAATAATGAATAAGGCTGCAAATGCCAGAAGCCCAGAAACTGGACGGATTTTTTACACACCAAACCTCTTTCTCAGCATAATTAAAGATTACCCTATCTGTTTAGGGGCATCTTTCCATACCTGAACTCCACTACCTCCTTTAATTAACTTTTAATATTTGATTGATTAATTGGGTCTAGTCACAATCTCACCAATTGCCAACCTGGGATTCTTTTTTAATGCTCTTCATTAGTAAATTAAATAATTAAAAAGAGATTAGTAAAAAGTTAATTTTATAAATTAATTTTTTTTTTTTTTAAAAAAAGGGAGTCGTTTACAACTTCTAATCTTGTTTTATTTTTTTTTTAAAAATAAATCGTTTAAGCTATGAAAAATTATAATTACATGAGGTGCCCAGATATTGCCAGAAATCAAGTTTGACCCCCAGCCCAACATAAACAAACTAATGTCATAATAATAACAACTAAAAAATTAGACTATAGTTATATATATATATATATATATATATATAAAAAGGCCAACACATACAGCTGGTTAACACTAGTAAGAATCAAATCCACAAGATTACGCGATCTAATAATACCTCAATTGATGTTGACCAATTGATACATTTAATTCTCTCTATTAAATTTTGATGTTAACGTTTCTGAGAATAAAGCGCAAAAAATTTATTAATAACCAAACATTTAATTTGTCGGACACATTTTATATTTTCAAATAAAATTATTAATATAAATAATCTGTCTTTAATTATATTAAAAAGAAAAAAAAAAAAGAAAATTCAAAAAAATATTCTGACAACTATTGAAAAATAATAACAATTCTTCCTCTAATTATTGTACTTGGTATCTTACATGTGATGGTGCGATGGAGGCTTAATTTTTGTTGCCACCAAATTACATAATAATCAGTTCTAGGATTTTACAGTGGATAAAATTCCACAGGGGAAAAAAAAATTAGAATACAAATTCATAAAAAAAATGACATAATATACCAATTAAAAATAATATATATATATATATATATGTAGAGATAATAAGCCCTCTTCATTAGACTTAAACTAAACATAAAAATGGCCTAGTGGGTAACTGATGCTTCGGTCCGTTATGAAATTCTTGTATTTACAGCGGCCTTTTTTACTGTCCTTTTATACCTTGAATCCAGGACCAAACTAAATGGTTGACTAAAGCTCAATTTTCATATGGGATACTTTACTGGAGCCTGCAGTATCACAATTTCACATCACTAAATCACTAATTAATATAAGTATTTGATTTCAATTAGTTGGGCTTAATTCGTTACCATGAAAATTCTCGGAGTTTATATCGGCTCCCCCGATCGGATTTTGACCAAAACCCACTTGGACAAGGGTTTGCAGATCATCCTCGCAGAAAGTTGGGAACTGGATGAAATTTTAAGAACAAAATTTTTAAAAAACTAATTAGTTATAGATAATTTGAAATTTGCCGAAGAGATCGTATTAAATAATAACGTACCTGAGGAAGATTAGGAAGAAATTGGTCGAGGGAGGGTAATTGAATGTTAAGGTTTCGACATAGTGAAGGCTCTGATGGGTCCATGGGGCACGGTGGGACTGACCCATTACAAATGTTGCCTTGTAGTAGTGGTGGATTTTGCAGGGGGGGGTGACCGAAAAAGGCTTCTGCCGAGGAATCTATTGGAAATACTTGATGTGGCAAGCCATTGTTTGATTGAATTATCTGCCCCCAAAAAAAAAGTCAACATATTGAAATTTGGACGTAATTGACAAAATTAGGAGTATTAAAATTTCAAAAAATAAAAGAAAATCATTAAGACTTACATCCTTTGCGATTAAAGTATCCACGCTAAAGTCCAGTCTGGTATTGACGGAAGCCAATTTCATCGACAAAAACTGCAATTAGGGAGAAATTAAAAAAAAAAAAAAAAAAAAAAAAGAAAAAGAAATCCCATTAATATATTGTTATAAAATTAGTCTTCGTCCTGGAAGTTGATGATTAAGAAATGTTAATTCATCAACTTACCTCAACTTGGCGTTGCAATGATTGAACATAGTTAATAATTTCATCAAGCATAAGTGCTTTTCCCGTAACCTATTAACAAAAGAAAATATGGGAATCAAAGTCCATTTTATATCAATCATTTTTAAAAAAAGAAATTTGAGAATGAGAATCCACCCGGCACGCAGTACCTTATTGCAACCAGGCACAAGATCTTGAAGAAGCTTCATTCGTTCGCTAATCTTTTCTCTTCGGACCTGACCAAATTCAGATATGTTCATATTGCTAGCTGGTTAAATTGACTGATTTTTTTTTTTTTTTTTTGGGTTAAATTGCGGTAATTGGGTAATGGAAATTCTTACTCTTTCGGCCAAACTATGGCTGTCTGTGGCTTGTCCTCTTCTGGCTCTGACATGAATGTAGTCCTTGGGTGGCTCGGGAGGTTTTGTGGTGTTGTTGTTCGTCTTGTTCTGTTTCTGGTCCCCGGTATTTGGTTGAGCTTCTTCCTCTGTTTTAACAGGACTGTCCACATTTCCGTTTGACTCTGTTTGCTTGCTCCGTTTTGGGTTGGAATCATTGTTGGGTTCAGATGCCTGAAAAGGAAAATTTGGACGTATTCAGTCAGTACTCTTCGGGTTTTGACAAACATGGGAACTGAACAATTTGACAGGTTTTTTTTGGATTAAGTGGTTAAGAAAAAACGGAAACTGAACAATACCTTTGTGGCATTGGGTGATGGGGATGCGACAGGCTCCTTGGATTTTCCTTTAGAGGAGGCAGCTTTTCTTTTCCTGGAATTTAAATCATTGGGGACTTTGGGAGGTGAATCTCCATTTGGAATCTGCTCAGAAATGGTGGATTCATCTTGGGAATTCGCCAATTCTGGTCGATCCTGCGATGGCGAGGTGGTCTTGTTGCCTGGCTGGGATCCAATTGCTTTGAGAGAGGGACTGCTCGAGACTCGCGATAGCTTCCCATTTGCCATGATTGGATTAGATCTGTTAGCAAAGTCACGGTTGTTTAATCCCAGCTGAGCTGTTCTGCCATTGAAGCTCCTGCTGCCAAAGCAAGAAAACCTGGCTGCCCTCCCTGCAAATCCCGGGTCAGCTACGAATTCAGAGGTCAACGGCATTGATTTTCCCAAACTGGGTATTTTTTCCTTCACCATGGGCAAACTTAGCTTAGGAGGAGAGCTAAGAGGAGTAGTGTAACAGGAAGTGTTGGTGCTGTTGGGGGTGTTGATGTAAGTAGTACCCAACAGCGGTTGGGAATGGGGGGAGATGTCGCCGGATTTGCCAATGCTTCCGAGCTTCCCTATGAGCTCTCTGACAAGAAGGCTGTCGGTGGAGACGTTAGAATTGGAGGCGACCGGCGAGGAGACGAGTGAGCTGAGGGCCGAGTCGAAATGAAGAGTGTGGTCCGTTGACTTTTCCCATGCGGGGTTGAAGAAGCAGTCGACAGAATTGAGTTGGTCAATGGGGGGAGAGAATGAATTCCAAGTCGGCATTGATGAAGAAGATGGGGTTGGTTCAAAATGCAATGAGGGTAGCTGTGGTTGAGGAGGGATTCCTGCATTTAGAAAGAATTCACTATCCATTAAGTCCGACTCTCGGTTAATCCTCACAAATCCTTTCTGTATTCACTTTGGGTTCTCGAAACAGGAAGAATAAGAAGAGCAGTAGATAAGAAACAAAAATCCCGTTTGTTTCTGTGTTGAATTTGAATAGAAATGGAAGGAAGAAGAAGCAGAGAAAGGGGGGATGGTTTTGGGTTACAATGGAAGATATATAGATGTAAAACAAAAGGTACTGTTTCTTAAAAATAATTAATGTTAATAAAAATATAAGTACGTATATAAAGGTAATTGTTGAGTGGATTTCCCCCGTAAAAGGCGGAGAAGGGCAGTTGTTGCCGGGCCTTGGACGTCAAAGCATCGCACCCTTTTCCCTTTCAACATTTTTAATCCCATAAAAAAATAATATTTATTATTATTAAAAAATATATATATATATATAATATATATATTTTTTCTTCTATAATCACTCTGTTTTTGCATTATTGTATTAATTCTCTCTGAGTACTCTAATTCAATAGATTCTTTTTGTTATTGTTAAATTATAATTTGGCATTTTTTGCTTAACCCATTAGTGGTTTCAACAGTTGTTGCGAGATTAGGTCCTTAAGACTATGATTAGGGCTAAGATTTAGGTTAATAGGACTTTGTGGTATCTGTGTTCCTAATTTAATTACACACACTTGAAGGAACCCACTATGGATTAGCTGGTAATACATTTTTATTTTTATCCCCCCTAATTCTATTCTCCCACTTGGTAATCATTGGAGTCAAACCAAAAGCCCATTGGTTTGCTGGGAATAAAAGTCAAACGTAAATAAAATACAAACTACCTTCTTTTATTCTCAGGGTAAATTCTTTTTTTTTAAAAAAAAAAAAAAATTAATAATAATTAAATCCACGCTTATATATCTAAAAAATTAAAATGCAGAAACTTCAACGTTTTGAGGGTTTGGTCAATCATTGCATTAATTTCTCAGCTCGCCGGTTAGCTCGGCCTTGGTCGGGTTCACATATCAGACCGACTAAATCATATAATATATATTATTATTATATGAAGTAACCACGTAAAATAATCTTGAATTTCTGAAGCTCTCCACAAACATAATATTAAGATGGAGTATATAACATTCATCATAAATATTATGTTCCAATAAAAAAATATTTATGTCTTACTTTTATTATTATTTTTTGTAAAGCACTTCATTTAGAAAGACGGCAACATTTTTTAATATTCTACATTTAATCAATATAATGGTTGGGACTATAAATTTACGTATAGAATTTTTTAACCAGAGGGCGAAACTTATAAGGCGCTAAGGGAGCTCATTATTATATGTTAATTTATATTATATATACAGCCATATATAGCGGTCATCCCAAATACATACACTCCCTTGAAAACAGATAAAAATATTATTACTGTGAAATAAATTTTAAAAAATATATATAAAAATGTATAGATTCAAAGTTAGAGATACATAACTATTTAAAAAAAAAAAAGTATATATGTTTCGAGTATAACGGCAATGAGAGAAGGGAATGATGAGAATGGCTGCCTTGGCTGGGGCAAAAAGGATTATGTGGTCCTATATGTAAGCAAGGACATGTCGGTATATAGTTTGATTATACATATGTGTATGTGTATGTGTATATGTATATACGTGTATGCATGCATACATATGTATTGCTACTGCCAATATGCCTAAAAGCAATCACTTCCCCTGTTACTGTTTGTATCATCAAAGAAGCATATATATGCTGTTTTCCTTAACGGGAAATTCATGTCCCCGTAAAACAAGTCGTGTCTAATTTCCTAAACAAAGTTTATATGTTAGAAATTTTGTATAGATTTCACATGTAATAAATTCACAAACATTTTACATATATTAAGAAAATAATAATTAATACAAAATTTAGAAATTCACACGTACAGTGAAAATAAAAAATTTGACTATCGGGATGGAATTTAATTAAGAAATATATAATGTTTTTAAGGTTTGATTTATGTAGCTTAAAATGGGTAATCAGAATCCAATTAGTGGAATAAGAAATCAAACAACCTAATAATAAAATTTCCTTTCATCATATCTACTAGGTAGCCACTTGCAGTCTTGGGATAGGATTAATATTATTGTCATCATTAGCAAGCCTAATTTTACCAACTCATAGATTAAATTAAAACACACAATTTAATTATCGAAATATAAAACATTTCAAAATTCTAATGTATTAACAATAGCCACACTGGATTAAAAACAATGTGTGAAAACCATGATTATTTAATTAATCTATAAAATTGTGTAACGGATGCCCCCCCCCCCTTAATATGATTGCGAGCTTAAACAAAATCATGATTATTCTCTTTGTGTCAATTAATGATAATAACCCAATTTAGATTTCTTCGTTTTTATTTTCTCTTCATTCATCATTATGCCTAATCTAATCTGCAATTAATTGTGTGATCTTCATTGTTGGCTTGACTGAATGGGCGTGCCACAATCATTAATATAACTTGGACACATTAATTAAAAAAGGGCTTTATTTGATCGCTGAAATAATACACGGGAGACGCCTTGAAAAGGCTTTACTTTATTATACTCACCAACAGTCTTTAATCTCTATGATCCCAAGACCTGATTAATGTAATTATAATTTTATTTATATTTAATAATTATGATATTACAGTCTTTTTTTTTTTTCTCTCTCTCTCCAAATTCTTGCAGTGGTAGAATAATTATTATTTTTTTTAAAAAAATTATATTAATATACATTGATCGATTAGACAAGTAACTAAAATCCAGCGTGGAAGTGTGCATTAAATCTTGAATCCTCTCTCCAGAAGAAAACTAAAACTTGTCCTCCACGCCTTGTGACAAATTAATTGTGGTCAAATTATGTGCCTTCAATCTCTTAATTATACATATATATATAATATATTTAATTATAGTCAACAAGAATGAGAATGTTAAATAAGAATAAATTTTTAACCACCCATATATCTACGTGCATATACTGACAATGCTCAAAAAATTGCCATCAATCAATAAAATAGATATCTAAATCTTCCCAAAATCACGAACTACCATATATATATATATATATATGTATATTTGATGATTGCAAGAGATTGCTCTTCGTTATCCATTGATTGTCGTTTCAACAACTCTTTGCACGAATGCAACATATATAATTCTTGTTATAAATGCAATCTCACATTTAAAATTAGTACTAATTTATGTATTTATCGAGTAATTACTACTAACGCTCTGTATATTTTGAGTATAATATACATAATATGATATGACAGTAAGTTATACATTATAATTCGATCTC